GGGTGGATCGGGTAGGAAACCAAAACGCTTCAAAATGTATGTTAATTTTAAGATTTTTTACCAAAATGTCGTAGACCAACAATATTTTATGCATGCAGTCCTACTTATAGAGTAATATATAAGCCATGTTAAGATCAGTCACCAATTTTGGATGATGTGTTAGGACTGAGCAATTCAAATCGAAAACTTCTTCATTTATCATCTCTAGAGGCGAAATAATTTTGGGAGATTTGATTCCTTAAATATGAATTTTAATATCTTTGTTTCAGCCTCGAGAAGATTTTGGGACCGGCAGGTGTCTACAAGCGCCCGTTTTATGACGACAATTATATAGACAGAATGAGCTACTACTACACAAACATGTTCCTCCTCTTCTACGTCATGCTATCCGTCACGGAAGAGTGGTTCAAATTTCCGGTCAAGTGTTTTTGTCCAGTAACCTTCACTCCTGAGGAGGTCATATATACAAATCATCTATGCTGGGTTGAGAAAATGTACTTTGTTCCCTGGAATAGGACTATTCCAAGTGATTACGACATCCGACAACTAGAGATGCAAATTCAGTACTATCAGTACGTTCCTGTCACGTGCTTGATGATGGCGTTTCTGTTTTATCTACCCAGACTTGTCTGGAAGCAATGCACCAACTCCAGTGGATTGAAGCTGAAGAAGCTGATAGAGATGGCGAGATCTTACCAACTGGATGACGATCAGACTCTCATGGAAAATGAACTGAAGTTTCAGTACGGTTTGATTGACACCGATCCTTATGGTGACGAAAGGCGAAAGGACGTGGTTAGAACACTCACTGAGTACATAGACTTGTACTGTGCCAAGGTACAGCCTTACAGAGCTGGTGCACTTCCTTCGTTAAGGGAACGTTTCGGGAGTCTGTGTTACCTTGGTGTAGGCAGACATTATGGTAACTTCTTTCCTGCTCTTCAGATTGGTGTCCGAGCTCTTTACTTTCTGACTGCCTTCGGTCATCTATGGTTTTTGAACGCATTCATTGGAAATGAGTTTGCTTTCTATGGATATGAGGTCGTAATGCGGTTTTTGAGAGGTGAAGAGAATTATATCGGAACTTCTCGGTTCCCCATCGTCACATTATGTGATCTGGAGATCAGAAGAATGTTTACGTTTTATCGGTATACCATACAATGTGTTATCCCTATCAACATCTTCAATGAAAAGTTCTTCCTTTTTCTTTGGTGTTGGCTCGTTGTTCTTTCCTTGTTGTCTTTCTTAAATCTATTTATATCCATTGGAAAATTTGTCACCCATCACGCGAACAGATCGTTTTTGAAGAAGTATCTTGCAATAAATGACATTTATTGTCGAGGTGAAAAGTCGATGAAAATTCCAATCAGACGATTTTACAATCATCTGAAACAGGATGGCGTATTTATTCTTCGCTTATTAGCGCAGACGACAAACACAGTTGTCGTCACGGAAGTAATGAGGGAATTGTGGGAGAAGTTTCGGGAGAGAGAGTTGGAGGAAAACGATCCGAATTTCGAGAAAAACAATAACAAGAAATTTCCACAGACCACTGGCGTTGTGAGATTCGATAACACAGTGATACACGTCGACGGAACTGGGTCACTCTCTTACTGTTCAGAAAGGGACCTCGTTGCCAGATTTAGAAAAGAAACTTTTGTTTGAAAGCTAATGGTTCAAACTAGACATATGCAAGTTTTGCAATATGCACAACAATTTCTTTTGATATAAAGAAAACAAATACTACGATATTAAGATTTTTTTTTATTTCCAACATCAGAAAACTATCATCTATTCTAAAATATGCCAGATTAAGTTTACTTGTTTCTAGGGATGTCAACGAATATTCGAACATTCGAATATTCATTCGATGAGTTGATATTCGAATATGAATATAAGATTCGAATATTCGGTGTTTTTCAGATTTCATTAAAAAAGAAGTACTGTGATTAATAAATTTTGATTAGAACAATTCTGGAATTATCCCTGTTTAATTTACTAGCGATCAATTTCGATCGCCCGATTACTTTCACTATTTTCTTATCTTTTATAGATCTACTAAATTATTTTGTTTTGAGTAAGGTGTTGAAGAATTATAACAATAATGCTTTATATAATACAAAACGTACTTTCATAATTTTTATTAGTTAAATACGATCGGATCTAGAATCGAGGACAACGAAATGAACAGTATACTTAATCAAAACAAATTTAATTGATCATTCAAATAAGTGTCCGATAGAATTAGTCTGTAATTAATATTGTAAAGGGCTCAATTTCAGAATAAATGTGTAAATTACTTGATTATCTCAGGTTGTACATAATCCTGAATTTTATATTCATTATCGGGAAATTAGTTGATTACTTAGGAAAATTGTCTATGGAATTGTTTGTTTATATTTTAAAATCATTGTATCAAAGATTATAATCATATCTCTGATTAGGCTGATAATTGTAATTAATTACACGTATTGGAATCTGAACAGTATACGACTATCTTGCCTTTGGCAAGGTGACTGGTTAATTAGTTGGAGCTACTATAAATACACATGTATCATTTGTTAAAATTATACTTTTCAACATTTAAATCAATAACTTATTTATTTCAAACATTGACAAGTATCAAATGGAATCCCTTATTGTACATCTACAAAAGTATTTCAAATATAAGAATACCTACGCTAAACCTTTCATGAGAGTAGGATGATGCATATTTAAAATATACCAGATTTTATTTATTTTATCGAATATTCGAATATATTCGAATACTTTCATTGAATATTCGAATATGAATTATTGACAAAATTGACATCCCTACTTGTTTCATTGAAATGTAAAACCGGTAAATTTGCAAAAATAGCCCCAACAGATTTTACAAAACAAGATATCTTTTACTGTTTAAAAATCCTTTCAATCTGCATTTAAATGATTGTTTGCCAAAATTTTATTTTACTCTAATAATATGCATGCTCAAGTTGAAATTGAATGAAATCGCTCTTGAAAGAGACGTAATTTAACATACATTAAAATTAGAGTTACCTCTCTTATCAGAGGCACATGAATAATAGGCTGTAAGTTAACAAATCAAGAAAATATCTGTATAATATACTTACAATGTAACACGTGCTGGTATAAAACATATTAATATTTCAAGAATTCATTATCGAAAGACCTTCAATATGACAGCATGTCACACCATTATGACTTGCTGGCGAACCTTGCTAGATGATCACGCATTTGTGTTGCCTGAAACCTGTTTTAAATTCTATTGACATTCGATTCTATATCTATACTCCGCTCTTCAGGAATGGTTTATGAAACCCATGATATTTTGCAAATGCAGACATCATTGCCAAGGCTAAGGAGAAAAATACATATGTATGCCAATTAATTTTGCTATCGGGTTAGACGCAGAATTACAGGATATATCACTGTAAGGCTACTAGAACTTTTATCCTTCAGTTTGTTTTTGAAAGCTTAACAAAGTAAATACTAGCTCTTTCACCTTTTATTCTTTCTTTCATCTGTTCACCTTCTCCTTGCGACTATTAACATGGCACCCCAATTAGTATAGATGTATAAAATACCGATGTTTTCAAATAGGATGATAAATACTTTCTTCAATAAATTCCCTTGAAGAACATTAAAAACAGGTTTTTAAAAAGTCTCCTTGCAAAATGATACATCTCGGTTGGGGAAAAAGTAAAACCTAGTCGGAAAAATCTTTTTTTATAGGAATTCTCTCATATAAAAAAATCAAATTAAAAAGATGTTTGGTTAGTAAGAAGCAAAATGACATGTTTTCAATTTTATGGACCCTTTGAGTGGTGTGCAGTTATTAGCTTGCTCATTATTCCATGTTCTTTTATGATCGTCAATAAACAGATTGTTATCAAACCATCAATAAAGAGGGTCGGTAAGTATACATAATACCGTGCATTGTAGGCTAGAATTAATAAAACGGAAAACGCCAATACAGAACCAAGACCTATTTATGTGTTTCTTGAGATTTGAAGGAACGTTATGACTACTTTCTTTAATAAGCCGTGTCATTTTCTTGAGTAGAGCATTCATTTTGAATTGAAATAGAATCTGAAAAAGTTCTTACTTAAAGAAATCATTTCTTTGTGAAGGTAAATATCATATACATATCTATGAGCATAGATTTCTCATATTTTAATTTTCTGCACACGTACACGCTTTTTTTTTTTTTTTGTCTTTTCACTCCAATTTTTGGCAGAAACCGCTATTTCTCTTGATCCACTAGTCCTGACTTCATCTCTATATACAGGTATTTTCTAAGAACTGTACGTTTTTTTTTTTAAAGATAAAACTTGAAATGAATTCGAACTTTGTAACTGCTAATGAAAACAGTAGCACTTCTCATTAAATATGTCTGAAAATGAAGTGATAAAACTCGTCCAACAAAACTTTTAAAAAAAATCTGCAGCTGCCCATAATTTTGTTGTTATATAGTTAGAAAGGTAAGGAAGTATAATGGTTCGTTTTGTCCTCCTTGATCTACTGTCCAGAAGACAAACTAGCATTATGTAATGGTAAGTTTCGATAACCTAAACCCCAGATAAGATCCTATCAACTAAGTAATTTACGAATTCTGCCATGTTCGTGCACATCATTGATCAAATTTTTGACAACCCAGTAAGCTTCTGCTTTTGCATGCAATATTTTTTTAAAGGCAGTTTTCTTTTTGATTCGGATTTTTAAAGCGACGATCAAGAACAAAAACTTAAAAATTTAATCTATTCCCGATAAATTAAATACAGGGTTGTATTATTTGAAGAGTTTAAACCTTCCAACATTTCTTAAGGTCAAACTGATACCATTTATCAATTTGAGTCCTGGGTGCGGACAAACATGAATCAATTTTGTTATTACCTTTTTCATTTACTTCACTTTTTATGACTAATTAGTACATCTTTGAGGAAAAATTAAATGGAACAGATTATTTAAATGATGAATAAAAATTATATTTTGTCTGAATTTTTTTTATTCATTTTGGATGTTAACTACAATATGCACAAAAAAGCTATCTCACCAGTGACATTAACATATATTCAAAGGCTTATGAATCTGACTTTAAAAAACTCTGAGAGTATATCACAAAATTAAACAAGACAACATATATCTGTGAGAATAAAATTTATACTTATTGCTACATATATCCCACACTGGACTTTACAAAAACAGCACCGGTAATTATCATGTTGTAATTTTTTTTAAATTTACTTAGATACAGTAAATTCAAATTTATATCATGATATTTAAAATGATTATAAAATGTTTGTCTTCAAACCAGGAATTTAAAACGATGCTTAGAAACTAAAACAATTGCATAAAAATATTGACTATCTCTTTTTTTTATCATGATAATTTGGTGAATAGTATTAAACCGATAAGGAATTCTCATTTGACAATTCTTGAAATCTTTGTGATATAAAAACAAATAGAATTAATTTAAAACAAGATGTGTTTGTGAAACACTGATGCCCACGTATGGCAACTTAAAGCAAAGGTTAAACTTTTTAAAATGCAAATCAAATTTGTTGGTATCCAAAGTAAGGTATAGTCCCGAGAAAAATATACCTGTGAAATATGAAAGCCCTAGCAGCAGCCATTGAAAAGATATGGAAAAGGTTAAAAATTTTCAAAAGTAAGTCAAACATCAAGGTCAAATGGTGCTCAAGGAAAGGCCTTTTCACAAGAAATACACAAGTGAAATATGAAAGCCCAAGCACCAACCGTTTAAAAGATATTGCCAAGTTTAAAGTTTACCAAAAGTAGATAAAACTCCAAGATCAAGGTCAAAGGGTCAAAATTGTTGGTATCCAAAGGAAGGTATTGTCACAAGGATTACACATGTGAATTATGAAAGCCCTAGCACCAATTATTCAAAAGTTATGATCAAGGTTAATGTTGGGTAAAATTTTGTAAAACTGGGTCAAACTCCAAGGTCAAGGTCAAATATGATGGTACTCAAAGAAAGGTCTTGTCACAAGGAATACACATGTGAAATATAAAAGCCATAGCTCCAACCAATCAAAAGTTATGGGCAATGTTAAAGTTTTTTGCAGACAAACAGATAAACAGTCAGACAGATGGACGGACAGAGCAAAAACTATATACCCCCGAATCTTCGATGCGGGGGCATAAAAATCTACTTAATTTATGAGCACTAAACCTGTATTTACGTAGATAAATAAATGTTAATAAACAATGGTCTGTTAAACATTGAAGTAAACAACCAGACACTTTTGTGGGTACATATATAAAGCACCAAATCTGAAACAGCAAAAAATCAGATTAAATCTAACAACACCAACGGCCCGTTTCATGAATATATGCAGTACACAAGTAGATCCTTGTCAATCGCTAAACAGGTAAAACTGCAACACTTGTTTGGAATTCTAATTGTTTTAAGTAGATTCAATTTTTGTTTAACATCTGGACGTTCACACTTTCATTAGCATTATAAAATGATTTGACTTGTACATGTACAAGGTCAATAAGATCATTTAGCACTTGAGACGCGGAATCAGATGGATGACGTATAAATATTGTTCTTAGAGGGTGTCTTTATGATCGATTTGACCAAGTACAATGCAGTAACTGTTTTACTATATGAACACATTGCTTTCTATGACAATTTCTCACGAATTCTGAAAAGAATAAAATGAAAATATGAAAACTCATAGGTGAAACTTGTTTACGATATTCACTAATGATTATAGATGTTCAGTACAAGATGTTTTATCGTTCAGTACAAAATGTTTTAACAGCATACCTTTACAGAAATGTTTAACATAAAAGTTGCAAATTTACCTGTGTGAATGTAAGAGAATTAACGAATGCATAGATACAGGTGCATCTCAAATGATAAAAATTTAAGTGAAATTCAATTTTCAGACGTTAAACAAGACGAGACGTATAAAAAATGTTTTGTTTTCGACATGCAAGGATCGAATTAACACTGAATCTCATCATCTTTGAGATTCATGTAACTTTTAATCGAAGGTTTCTCACAATAATTTGTCCATAATGTTTCCACCAGCTCTGATGCTAGCACTTGGCTAGTGTTGGCGGACACCATCCAAATCACAAATATCCCATCATTCCTTAAATAATTCTTGATAAACTTATCCACGAGGTCTCTTTGTCTAGCTTCGCCTTTGGAGTTGAAATGCTTAGGCTCTGATATATTCAGATATTTAATTATATACTGGTGCTGCCTCCATGGCAAACAGAATGTGACTACGTTCCAGATAAGGTGTCCTCCATTGATGAAAGTCATTCCAACGAGAAGAAACCAGGTGATGACAAAGAGTTTCTCATTAAACAAATTAATTGGAAGCGAACACTGGACAGTCCAGCGTTGTAGATTAGACAACTGTCTAATGTCGAAGTCACAATATGTCACCAACGGGAAGCGTTCCAAATCTTTCCACTTTTTACCCTGAAACATCAACATGAGAAAATCCGGACCGATATGAAAAAAATTATTTCCCAATAAAAGTTCCAAAAGGAAAAACTGTCCAAGTGTATTTGCAAAATATAGGAAGCCGGTAAAAAGATAAAACACCGTCATAAAATTCCCCTTGTGTATTCCCGCAGATGCCATTGTTTCCTTTATCCGCCTTGAAGTTTTCGTTTTACCCATAATACAATCTCTTATATCTATCCATCTGTCAATGAATTCAGCCAACTGTCCAATCTTGTCTTTTCTTTCTTCCGGACTATCGTAAGAGGCTCCCTCCGCTATCCTAAGAACCTTCTTTAGATCGAACCCAGAATATCCGTTCCAGTGTTTCCAAAACATTCTTGGAAGAAAAAATAGGAAAGCTTGCAAGGCAAAGATGATGGGGACCCACTGGTAATACATGATCTCCTGGTCCTCTCGCTCCCTGTGGTCCACCGGAAGTGACTCCTCGAATGGTACAAGGTAAGTGTTTTTGATCCAGCAATAGGCATTAGCGTATGATACATGGAACTTTTTGAATTGAGCAGGGCACCAGCAAGAGATTGGTTCTCCGACAAACTGTTCAGCGCTAGAAAAGAGGGTGAGTGCAATAAAAAAGGCCATACAATAGAGGCGGTTCAGACGGTGAGCACCTGTGTCGTCAGTGGTTCCGATCTTTATCTTCTTAAAGGCCTTTCCTGTTATGTCTTCAACACTGCAAATAACAAATGCATTGGTCAAATAAAGTTTTTATTCAAAAATAATTCCATGGCATTTTTTTATTCTTTACAGGGCTCACGGGGGATGCTTATTCTACCTAGATACCTAGGATTTACAAGGGTCTGTATTATGCCCTGTTCACAGATTTGTATTGTTTGTAGGTTTATTGATTTTGATCAGGGTTCGTTATCTTCACCATTTTCAATTTGGTAAGAATGACCAACCCTAACCCCCATAAAAATGTACATAGAAAGTTCACTTTTTCGTGTTTGCCACGACCAGCAAATCAACACGTTTTACACATGTTACAGACCAAACTGTAAAAAACTACATACAGTATATAGTTAATGTAATAATCCCAATTAATAACATTTTGCTTCGTTATTACATTTCGCACTGTAACAGCTTACATGTACGTTATACACAGCTAGGCTCCTGACATACGGATTTTGTAATCCCCTATCACCCAACCCCTTTTAAAGATACACTATGATCACATTTTTTTATTTATTTTGTTGTTTTGTTTTTTAGTTTGTGTGTGTGTGTATTTTTTTTGTTTTTTTGTTTTGTTTTTTTTTTTTTTTTTTGTATTTTTTTTTTTTAAATACAGAATCTCATTGTACAGATTAAAAAAGGGGGGAATCCGATATACCGTATATATTTATAATCTATTGTATTTACCGGAGTTTCAAAGTATATTTTGGGGGTAAGACATCGATATCTGATCTTTATTAACAATTTAAACAAATACAAGATAATCTAAATCTCTAAGTACTTGTCTTTTGTGCATATGGTAACATGTGATCAGTTTATTACCAGCATTAGATTAATTTCCGATCTTTACAAACAATTTAACAATTATCGTTGGAGTTGTTACAATATTACTATATTTCCTTTTCCAGAAAAATGTCAAATTCTACGACTCGCCTATAAGTCGGACCTATACTTTTTGTTCAAAAATTCGACTCATAGGCGGGTATATACGGTAACTTTTCATAGCTGAAACTGCTTGCATTTTTTGAGGACAAAACTCTTTTCTTAATTCATATTAACGCGTTTTGGTAAATCAACAACTCGTCGAATTCCTTAAGAATTAATCTTCGCAAGGACAAAGAAATCCCTGAAGTCGTGAACAGATACACATGTATAAAGTTTTTTTTTAAAATTAGGGACTTACTACAATTGTACGTGTATCGATGAATGATTATGTCTATATAAGGATGACAAAATTGCAAAAAATATCCACGGAAAAAGTTGACATTAGGCCATATTTAAAATAATGTCTGTCTGCCCTCTCCCGACACAGGGTAAAGGAATTGGGTCGGTAGGTAGGTCGAAATTTTTTCCCCTAGCAAATTTCAATATACATATTGACGGAATGAGAAAGTTCAGGAATTAAAAGGGACAAAAAATATGTATATTTTTATGCAAACTTTGAGGATTAACTTTCAAAAAGGTGGAGCGAAGACCCACTCATATCGAAAAACAGTGTTATAGTATGCGAAAATGACTCTTTTTGCCCGCTTTAGTGTGTGTCTAATATTTCACGGGCAAATAATTTCAATCTTTGAGGGATTTTTGCAAACTGTAGAGATTTTACATAAAGTATATTTTAATGTTAGACGAAATATCAAGGAACATTTTGATATAATAGAAATTTAATTTTTCATCTTCATGTTTGTCACACTATAGGCTTATCGCTCGTCATGTTCACCCATCTCCTTTAGAGGATAAAAGTTTATTTATAAGCATATGAATTTGTCAAGCATGGACATGTTATACTTTGCGGTCGTATTCGATCTGTAACACACTCAACTTGAGGAGATACTCAAACACTGGGAGTGCACTAAACATTTGTATTTGCCCCTGAAACTTAAAAAAAAAATTGAAACTGAAACTGATGCATGTGATAGCAATAACAAATGCTTTTGGGACACTAAGTGAGACGTAATGGAGCCACTGCAGTTAATTGGGAAAAAAAGCTAGGGAGGATAATTTCGTGATAATTTCTTATCTCAGATAAGGATAGCAGCAGTTCCCATATATAAATGTTCAGATCAATAGCCGTCCGCAAATGAACAGAAGACTTAAGACTTTACATGAATTATTCTCTTTGTCAAATAATAGGAGTATTTATCCGAAGTTATTGTTTATTCCTGACTTCCTTGTTGTGAGAACTGCGTTTTAGAAATTCACAGTCCTACAGGAAATGGGAATGTTGATTAATAATCCCTGACATCAGCACTCACCTGTGTCATTCATTGTTATACTGAATAATGTCATCGATGTTGTCATACAAAAAAATCATCTTAAAAAAACAAATTTGAAGATTTAAAAATTCTCAAATCTAACATAAAATTTGTTCTTAAAACGTGTCCTGTAATGGGATCTTTTGATCTTGTAAATTTCCTGACATACTTCCTTAAAACCTCTTGTCCAAGTACACATTTCTTTTATTTCTAACGCGTAATTTATTTAACTTTTGCACTTAGAGGCAGAAAGAGTGTCACAGTAAACTTTTTAATAAAAGAAATCTTAATAGATTATATATGAATGTTCAAAAGCAATTTCATCTTTTAATTTTAAGATGAAATAAAAACATATTATTGACCCATTGTCTTCTTACAATGCTTAAATGAAATGTGTACATAAGTCCAACTTGTTATGAAATATACATTTTTTTTTTAAATCTGAAGGAAAATATGTTGTCTTGTAACGGTTGGTTGGATTTAAATAGATTTTGAAAGATTTCTTTAAAAGTTTAATGAAAAGAGTGTCATAATCTTTATTTACACTAAAGTAAATATATCAAATAAATGTTCGATTTTCTAGTGTAAGTCAAGCTCAGATATACAAATTCCTTTCCCACAAGAATGTAAAAGATAGAAAGAAAAATATTGTAAAGAATAAATAAAAATACAGTGAAACGGGAAAAGTTCGACCGAAATTCAAAACTTGAGTACTTACAGATGCCCCATATTGAGAGTCTGTGTTTGGTCCTAATTCCTTATCGTGGTGTATTCATCACTCAGGAACGTTTCACTTTCCCGTGGTCCTCTTCCAATCTTACCTGGAGATAAACACAGGTATGGAAGCCAGCTATGTCATGAGTGTGTCTAAGGTGTGCGCATTGTGGTAAATTAAACCCCACACTGATCGAGGGTGTAAAAATACTTTTATGTGACGACAGCGGCACTTGATAGCTGAACAAAAGCTCTAACATGCCGCCCTAGTATATTTTGTTAATATAAAGTCGGAGAGGATATGTGGAGGAAAAATTCGGATTTAAATCCCATGTGATATTTACTGAAATCTTAGCACGGCTAGTTCTTTCGAAAATTCTGACAAAACATGCATGTTCTTTCACCATTCTATTCATAATGTTTTTAAAATCTTTTTTTTTAAATTATTTAACTTCTTGAAATTTCTATTTAATTCTTTTGAACCCATGGTTCTTGTTGTGACCGCTAAAGGACAGTCAAGCCGTGTGTCCGTTTTTGTTTTGTTTTTGTTTGTTTGTTTTTGTTTTTTTTGCGGGGGTGTCATTTTTCATACATGCAGCTTTCTTGGAGCAAAGGGTAAAATGAGCTAATCTGCTCAAAGTTGACATATTTTATTAGATAATATGATCAGGCTCTAAATTCTCATCAGCAAGTAAAGCAATTTCTATTTTTTCCCATTTTCTCTGATAAAATGAAAAAAAAATTAAATCATATAAAATAACTAGTATAGTAGGAAATGAGGAATGAACAAATATACCATTAAGACTTATGTCTGGACCGGTCTATGATTTTATGTCTGGACCGTATTATGATTTTATGTTTGGATCGGTCTATGATTTTATGTCTGAACCGGTCTATGATTTTATGTTTGGATGTCTATGATTTTATGTTTGGATAGGTCCATGATTTTATGTTTGGACTGGTCTATGATTTTATGTCTGGACCGGTCTATGATTTTTTGTTTGGATCGGTCTATGATTTTATGTCTGGGACTGTCTATGATATTATGTTTGGACCAGTCTATGATTTTATCGCCGGTTCTTTGTGTCTGTTATCTTTTTAAAACTTTCTCCAAAACTAAACAACCAATATTGTAAACAAATAAAGCATTATTGATTTTAGAGAATTTAAGTTTTTCTCTATGCCGATAAGGATCATAATGAAGATGTAATGATTAAAAGTTAAAATTTAAAGAAAACGAAATCATATAAATAACAACTATAGTATAGTGGATGAGAAAAGTCCAAAAGCCTGAACTAGAAATGAATTCTTTAAAAAGCATACGAATTGCCATGCAAACATCATTGGGTCTAGATTACTCCATCTCTGTCCACACTCCCTTCTCTTCCAGACTCGGGGCTTGGGATAATTGATATGTAATTTAAAAAAAAAATGGTTCGAATGTTTCTAGAACATACTTGTTAATTTTTACTTATTTTTTTCAAAAATATCTAAGCGATAGTTTCTCAATTTTTTTTTTTTAAGATTTCAAAATATATCCATTTGGCCAGGGTGGATTCAAAGAAATTATTCAAGTTAAACACTGCATGTTAAACGAAAGCATATATATTTAAAGAAAGGGGTCAAAGTTTGCACAAAAGACGCAAGCTCTTCAACACTGTTTTAAAAAATGCAGATTAAAAAAAAAATTAAATAATGGCCCTGGGATACGGGTGGGGTTACAGAAGGTTTCAATTTTATTTCTACCGGAAAAAACAAGGGAAGCATATTTCAGTAGGTTTACAGATGGGATTATTTGTCAAATTAATATGCAATGATATGCAGGCATCCTTATTTATGGTAGATTTCAGTTTGTTTCATCCCATGCCTCTGAATCAGAGGGGCCACAGTAGGGTAAAATAAATTCATTATTGTTACATCATATCGATAATATAAATCATCATTATACACTGTACATTTTACAATGTCAAATTAAAGTAGGTCAGTCGGGGGTCAGAATAAGCGGTTTCACTTTCATTTATCATCCAGCACTGTATGACTAATAGTTGTTGTATAGGCTTAATTTTTTTTAAAGTAAATTTCACGTGAACACTGCCTCCAAGCACCTTATAGTAACTGAGATTAATTTACGATACAAATCACTCATGTGCAGTCATGTTTCAAAGGTTTATGAGTCCTGTTTAATATTCAATCGGGATGTATAGATGATGGAACTAAACCTTGTAACGGTTTATCGGCGTCATGAATCTCATTTAAGACCTTGCTAAATCAAATATTTTTTTTTTATTTAAGATAAGTTTTGACTAAATAATGTCACTTGCTTCAAACTCTTTTCTTAAAAAAATCATGAAAATATATGCTTACTCTTTTTTCTTCATAGCAAAGGCGCGTGAACTTTTTTCTTTCAACATTTCTCATTAAAGTTCCATACTCATTAAAACCGTGTAGATTTAATTTCATCAAATTGAAATTAGATATTCCGCTCATGTGTGATTATGTAGCGAATCAAAGTTTAAATTCAAATTAGTTAATTTTATGACAATTGTTCAGAATGATCTAGAATATATTAGTAGGACTGGAGAAGTTGATACAGAATGGAGCATTTCTTTTAAAAAGTGATATTCCTAGAGCTTGGCTTTTAAGGTATCCTAACACCCCACCTAGACAAAAATAAGTTTGTGAAGTACGTGTATGAGAGAACACAAAATTCAGCTCATCAGTGCCATATATATGTTTCTTCGGTTCTTTTAATAGGTATGAAAGGTGAAGGGCGTGTGTGATGCTCTGACTCAGAACACTGTGTATATTGTCCATTAGAAGCTGTAGGGGATCTATAAGCTATAAAGAGCCCAAGACTCTGTCCGGCTGTACCCTGTTTAGACTATTTAAAATAAACTCTTCTGTTAAACTTCAGATGATGTGAACAAGGTTCAAAAGCATGCATGTCACATAAACTTATTGGCAAGGAAAAAAATCTGTGTTACTTCATGGTCCAATTAGAAGAAAGAGAAAAAAAGATATATCAATATCCATGTTTAGCTTCAGATATATGTCGACTCGATATTTCCCAGTGAACTAGAAATAAAAGACACCATGGAGTCTGCCACATTGGATGTTTTACTGACTATATAGACGATAAGGGCCAACTAACAACTAAACTGTATGAAAAACGAGATGACTTTAGCCTTTTCCATCGATATCGTCAACTTTCCTTATATATGTAGTAAAATTCTGCTAGCTATCACCTGCATATGGCGTTTATTCGATACTCAAGAGCATGTTCTGGGTACAATCAAGACAGGCTACTGACAGACAAACTGATGTTACAGGGATTTCAACAACCTCGTTTAAAGACAGCATTTCGTAAATTATATGGTCGTTATACTGACCTTGTTAGCAAATATAACCTATTATTGGGTCGTATTTTTACTGACATATTTCATACAATTGTTAGGCCTTTGTCTTTATACTAAATTTGACTGTGGAATATTATGTCTACCTGATCAATACATAGGGCTAAAGGCGGTTGTGACCGGTCGACAGGGAATGCTGAAATTTCCGTGGGTTCGTGTTTTATGCCCTGTTTACAGATTTGTATCGTTTGTAGGTTTTTTTTTCTTAGATCGCTCATTGTTCGTTATCCTCACGTTTTTCATATAAAGTTGACCAAAAAGAAAATAGGGGCTGATTTTTTGGCTCAAATGTGAGAAAGTACTTCGACTCAGAGGTACACTGTGCAAAAGTAAGAATGTATATATACCATTGAAACACTGACACAAGGGAAATAACTTGTACAGTATCTAAGTAAGATTCGCACCTGTAATATGATCATAGATTTGAACTAAAATTCTTGTCTTTTGTGGAAACATTTAGTATTCAAAGTGATTAATATTAATAACTATGCGGGGTCAATTGTTGGTAACCGGTAGAGGGTGTTCGACCAGTTTTCATTCTGGCGATTCCATCCATGGTTGTAAACCAAGGCCAAAATGTACTATCCTCTCTCAAATCCAAACCACGGCCAAAATGTAAGTATCCTCTCTCAAATCCGTGGCTTGAGACGATGGCTTCGGTCACACCTCTGTTTAATGCACAATATTCAATCTTGATAAGTTTTAATGCCCTTCGACTTGCCCCGCATATTTGTTCAGACATGAATAATAAGCTATTGAGTAATTTCTGAAGCTGTGCTGTTGAGAACGACATTTGCGTAATGATGAAATTTGAAGGCACATAATTAACATTGTGTTGAACTAATTGTATGATAATGGTATTGAGTGAATGCACAGCAACTACTTCATCTAAATGTCAACAAGGCAATAAATTATAAGTTTATTCAAGTGTTATTTTTTTTGTTTAGCCAGAGTAGATAAATTGAAAATATCACTCTGCTTCTTAACTTTCATTTACATGTACATACAAGTCAAACAAGGAATAAACATGTGCAGGCTCATTTCCAAAAATATAAATGAAATATTGTTTTTATTGCATTTTTTTTCTGTAAAGTACATTTAACAGACAGTGAACATAAAAAATCTTTTAAAATGATTCAATAGATTACATAGTTTTGGCAAGGATAGACTCAAATCTGCATAAAATATCCATAATATTATACATCTAAATACATTCAATTCTGTATAAATCAAGTGACATTTAAACTGAATCACAAAAAACAATCACAGTCAATATTCCAACTAAATAAGAAATTGGGAATACACAGTCTACATAAACAAAAGTCATATAAAAAATCCCCAACAATACAGGCTTTATAAAACAAGTGAACATCTGACATAAAGATTATGCTTTCATAGTAATCTAGGGTGGATTCAATAATGAAAGGAAAATTATTTTTTGTAAGAAAATAAATTAAAACTACAAGACCTACTGAAAAACATTTATAAAAATGTGTCTAGTAGCCTGACTGTGTTGATTTGCAGACTTTCTCCAGGATAAGTGACTAATCATAATGGCCTGAGATTCCACATACTGTATATAATGTAGATACTTATATGTGACTATCATTCATTTAAGACCCGTTTTATGATGAAATGGTTCCTACATACCAGGTATTAAACACCAAAATACCAATCTGAATTAAAAAAAAAAAACTAAAATGTTCCTATATAGAAATAAATGTTTTTGATAAGACAAAGCACAATCAACAATCTCACTTTGGTCATATTTTGATTGAGATACAAATAGACCTTCAACTTTGACGTATTTCAATTCAAAAGGAATGTTTGATACCCACCCAGAGATTTAAAAACATTGCTTTGTAGAAAAAAAATAAAAGAGCAATGTTTGTTAAAATAATGATAAACATGTCTGGCAGATAATAAATTAAGATCTGAACACCTGAATGGTGGTGACCACAACTATACAGAACAGTGGAACATGAAAACTGTTGTTTGTTCTTCAAAGAATGTACAATGGGAAACAAAGAACAAATGATAATTATTACTTACAGGTTATCTTGAATCTAATCATTTGTGTAATCCTCAAATGGATTCATGGAGATTCTTCTACCTTTATTTTTAAATGAATATGTTACATCTACTTCTAATTTATGCCTTTTTCTGAACTTGGCCATGAAAATATTTCATTTAAATGTTATTAAAGCTTCACTTAGTACTCTTTTTCATGTAAATTGATTTTTAAAAAAATCTCTAAAACTCATGACAGGAAAATTGTCTGTGTGCTGAAATTATAGAAAAGTCTTTTTGCCAGAAGAAAATGTTATTTGCAATAGACATCAGAAAACATTAAGATCTTTTCCTGCTCTACAGTTTGGAATGAGGCCTTACACTGAGACTTCGGCCATTCTTGCTGATTTTAATAGCCACTTCAAGCCCTTTACAGATCTGGTCAAGCACATGGAACGGCACAGATTTGTTGACTGGAAGGTACACGACATGGTCAATGAGATAACGAGCCTCATGAGGATAATAGTGGATCAGCGGAGCAAAATAGTCCAGGTGTGAATTCCATTTCTCTGGTTCAATAATGTTCAACTGAGTGGCACCACGGTAGGCATCAATCCCCATGGCATTTAATATCTTAACCACAGTATCTGGATTTTCCTGTCAAAAAGTGAATACTTTCTGAATAACCATGCATGAATAATCTTTGATTACATGGGCATAAAAACCGCAATGAAATGTAAATTGTGTCATCCATTTTTATGTGAAAATGTATATCATAAATTTGTAAATATATACATGTATACTGTAAACATGAATATATACTGTGTTGTTAATTATCCAAACAAGCAGCAAAAACCATAAGTATTGGGGTATTTCCACAATACCAGGTTAAGGTATTGTAATTATTGAAAGAAAAATATACAAGGTATTGGCATGCAGGAAATTGTTCTTAATTCATAGATTTCCCTGATTTAGTGTAAATCTTCCCCACATGTATATTTCCATGTTTACAGTCACAGGCACTTGTTTCGTATACAGGGCACTCCTACTTATTTTTACCACAAGGTACCTAACTCAATTTTAGGCACCCCCACTTCAAGCACGTATTTTGTTAATATATCAATCATTAACCTACTTTAAAATGACATCGTTTGCTTCGAGAGACTTTTTTCTTGTCAATTAAATCATTTCAGATGTCTCTGGTCGAGCCTCTTTATTGTAAACCACTCATTTATTCCTCAAAAATTACCTCGATACATTTAAGACTTTAGATGGGATACAACTTCCGGTTGGTGGTAGGATAAAACCAGAAACTTCCAAGTATTCCATTCCAAGGTCTCTGGTTTTATCCTTCATTTATATCCCCAACCGGAAATTTGTATCCCATCTAAAGTCTTAATATGTATCGAGGTAATTTTCGAGGAATAAATGAGTGGTTTACAATAATGAGGCTCGACCAGAGACGTCTAAAACGATTTAGTTGACAAGAAAAAAGTCTCTCGAAGTGAACGATGTCATTTCAAAGTAGGTTAAAGATTGATATATTAATAAAATACATGCTTGAAGTGGGGGTGCCTAAAATTGAGTTAGGTACCTTGTGGTAAAAATAAGTAGGGGTGCCCCGAATACCAAACAAGTGCCTGTGTTTACAATGTGTAAATGTGGCGATCAAGCAAGTTTGATTGCTGGTAGCCAGGTAGCTTAGTTGCTAAGGCACCTGACTGGAGATTTAGGGGGCCCGGGTTCAAATCCCAGTCTGGTCTGTCCCATTTTTCTCCTCTCCTGTTACAACACATTCTAGAATGTTGTGTAATTAATTCCATAGTACCAAATACTTACCACCAATATAGGGTAGAGCCAATAGTTGTTGACGGTGCTCTCTGCTCCTACAATTGTCACACATTCTGGGAGGCGCTCTCTGACATAGTCCCCCTTTATACTGGTTGACTTGAACTCTGTGGGCTTGAAGTTTTTCAGTCTATGTCGAAGAGTTTGTAACAGGGCACTGGACGGCTGTTGTCGGATGCGATGAACCATATCACTTGGGAATCCTCGTAACATTTTTATAACATACCGTTTGTGGTCTATATTTAGAGTACGGGTTAGCCACATGGCAGGTTTGACCACTTGGGGACAGTCCAACAACAAATAAACCATAAAATACTTGGTCAATTTCTTAAAATATTCCCCATGCTTTTGCACAGGATATTTAGAATAATGTCTGGACATTTTATCATATAAATCTTGATCACGAATTTTTGCTATTGCACCTCCAAAAGCTGTTGAAGGTTTAATTACACCAAAACTAAAGAGGGCCAAGTCTGATCTGGGATTTCCTAACCAATCAAAACCACAGAAACACTCGGCACAATCTTCTATCACAACAACATTCTGATCCTGAGCAACGTCTATAATACTGTCCATTTCTACCTGCTTCCCATATATATGGGCCACTAATATGGCTACTGTCTTTGTGGAAATGAGGTGCTTCAGTTGATCTATTTTTGGACTTGTTCTTTCTATATCAACATCCCAGGGAACAACCTGTAAAAAAAATGGGAAACATCTGTCAATATTTTATGTCTTAGCAATGACTTCACAGCCTATGCCTCCGTTATGAAAAGACAGTTAATAGTGGTAAAAGGGCTAAAAGAAAAAAAAAAGAAACTGTAATGAACTGAAAATTCAGTGTTTTGTAGATGGATATAGAATAAATTTCACTTGTGAGGCAGGATTTTTTGATAATTTCACTTGTGTTTCACACTTGCAAATATAAAAAAATTCTATGCAACTGAAATTAATTCTATATCCAACTAAAAAATTCATTGAATATCTTCTATTGTTATACCTTTAAAAATTTGTTCCTATATAAATCAATACTAATAAAAGTCTAACATTTCCAATGTTTTACTGAGCGGGCATAAAAAAAAAAATTGATGTTTGACCACGGAGTGAGATATTGGACCTGTCGATGAGATGTTGGACCTCTTACATCACATAATGGGCGAGGTAAGCTAAATCTCATTTGCATTTGTTGGTGGTTGACATACATGCATGTCAAAAAAAATTAAATAAATAAATAAAAGGTATAACAAAACATTTATTGACTGTGTTCTCGGGCAACATGCGTTTTGTCGACCCCTCAAACCAAACTGTTTGCCTGAGGCCTAGCGGCCTCAGGCAAACAGTTTGGTTCTTGGGTCCGACAAAACGCATGTTGCCCGAGAACCCAGTCAATAAATGAATATTATTCAGTTTAGATGTGAATTTTGCTCCACATTTTGTGAATATCATGAAAAAATATATAGATTTAACATACTGAAGATGAGTTTAAGAGGAGTTCTAATTCTTCTTCATTTTTTTTTAAAAATTATCATTATTATTATTATTTTTTTTTTTTTTGTTTTCGATGTGTAAACTTGAACCTTTAGTCCATGGTGTTTAACAATGTACACCATATCAGGAATGTTAATGGCTGACATGATGACCTCCGAGCCTGGTGGATAATTTTTGACCTGCAGGAACAGGTCTAGACCGGTCCTGACTGACAGACAAGGTAGGACATGATTCTGATTAGTCGATGTTGTCCACATCTGCTTCAGATCCTGAATGACCTGCTCTCTGTCTCCACAGCATGTCAGACATCGAGAGGCTGCTCCAAAGATGTCCTTGAACTCAGCATCTATAAGGTCATATAATACACATAATTATCAATGTGACAGTTAATGATTAAGCATCTGACAAATGAATAAAATCAGGAATGTCATTGTTTACTTTTATACTGGAATTCCTTCTTTCATCTCTTATTTTCAGTTTCATTGCACAAAAACTATTTTTCGTGTATTTGTCTATTGGTACAATGATGAATTATGAGGTAATCAAAGCCTTAATATTCAAACACAGGTTTATTAACATGATTGATGGCTTGGGAAGATTTAACCATATAAAGGAATATTTTTCAACAAATATACAAAACAATGGGACTTATGAAGGTGTTTTCTATCCTGTGAGAGATAGCTGTGATCAATTATAATAGATATCTGGTGACTGATGTGTAATTATAGGTCTTCTGTGTTTATTTCTACATACAATAAAAATGTATGTAAGAAAAGAAATGTATGTAAGAATATAGCAATATCTTTTGTGTAAAATGAATATATATATTGAAATTTTCCTAAAAAAAACATGTATCTACCCATTTACCTGAGACATGTTCTATTTACTAGCTTGTAAAGAATGATAATATCAACTTGTAAAGATAGAAAAAAATTTATATATGTATGTGAGCTAATTTGCTTCCTAATATTGCAAATCTGATTTTGAAAGAAATATTAAAGCCAAACAAATGTCCTTTTGATGAACAGCTACAGTGTACCTAGTGCATAATAATGTTTAATTCTAGATGATAAACTGAAACTGTTATTTTTTCTCATGAAATTTTGCTTTTCATCTATCATACAGGAGTCTAATTTATGACCTAGCTTTAGGACATTTAGAGTTACCTCCCATAAATCACTTTCATGAAAATTCAACAAGAATACCTTCTCAAAGGGAGCAAAAACAAACCTTAAATCCACATGTACCAAAGTACATATCAAAAATCACATATCTGAAAAGCTGAAGCCTGTTGGTCAAAGGAAGATATTTTTCAGCATTTCTTTACTATAAGAGCAATAATGGCCATATAAAATATATTTTCAGATTTTCTTTCCCTTCCTATTTGGATTTTAAAAAAAAATGAATGCTATGATCTTTAAAAAAAAGGGAAAAGAAGAAGAAGATATAAGCTCCAGGTATGCAAAAGTCTTCCATTAATTTCATAAAAAGTAAAAAAAAAACAAAGAAATCTGTATGATCTGTACATGTAGAAATTATCTGGCATTCCTCATAGCATGCTCTTACAATATTGACAACCCTTCTATACAAAAGATAAGGAATACTAACAGTGCACAATGCACAGGTAGAATAAAATCTACTTACCTATATAGACACAGGTGTATGGCAGGATGGAGCTGGTTGATTTATCCAGGAATGTCATTCTCTGGATTTCTTCGTTCTCTCTATTCTCTGTTTATATATACAGAAAAAAAATTCTTGAATATATCCAGAGAGTACGTGACATGTAATATACTGAACTACTAATTGTACAAGATATGCTCATCAAGTGGATATCAATAACTAGATTAATCATAAGAAATGTCTTTAATTTCTATCTTATTAAGAAATCCTATATAAATACAGAGATTACAGGAAAAGACAGGAAATGACTAACCAGACTTAAACCCTGGTTCCCTAGACTTTTAACAGGTGCCCTACTCAATGATTCAGTTTTCTGGCCAGTGATGGACTGACAATGAACCCCCATCCCCCTTCATTTAAAAACAAGATGTGTTTGTGAAACAATGATGCTCCCATATGGCAGCTTTTCCAAAAAATAAGTCAAACTCTCCAAGGTCATGAGGTCAAAAATGTTGGTACCAAAAGAAAGGACTTGTCCCAAGAAATAGTACAGTGAAATATGAAAGCCCAAGCACCAACAGTTTAAAATTTATGGCCAAGGTTAAAGCATTTGTGGAAAAACAGACAGATGGACAGATCAAAACTATATATGCCCAAAAATCTTTGATTACAGGGGCATAAAAATATCAATCATTGAAATGATAAAAGGTTGTGGTACACAGTGTAAGGCATTTATACAGTGTATAGAACTAAGTCTAAAGAGTGAAATCACAGGGAGACACAAATGTAAAGAAAAACAGGAAGGAAAAAAATCTAAAGAAAACATCTCAACATTCAGGAAGACTCATACATGTAACCATGGTAATCAGTAAATATCTATCTTAAGATCTAAAATTATAAAAGGAGATTTGGCACTGCATTTGTAGGGACTGGCAATTACATGATAATCTCTCTCTCTCTCTTATTACCTAAAACAATCCTACATGTATTTGTAGATTTTTTCTGATCCAGCTAGTTTACCATAATACCTCTAGCAAACAAGTTTACTATTTACATCAAGGTTTGCAAATAACATTGCACTTTCAGTGGCTTTCTTTATCAGAGAATAATTTCTGATGTATTAGCTATGCTATTGAATTACATGACTGTACATATATGCAATGTTTATGGAAAGAGAATACTGTATAAGTGGAATTTTAGCAAGACACAAATTTAGCGATTTATCCCCAAAAAATTGGTATATATTTTTAGCAAGAAGTAATTTTAGCGATTTTATGTCAAGAGAGATAGCTATAACAACTGATAAGGAATAAATTGTTAGTGATATTCAATTTTAGCGATCTCAAAACCCTTGCTAATAATGCTAAAATTGACACCTTGCTAAAAATTCTGCTTATACGGTATATCAGTAAATATGTATGCTTGGCCAGCTAGGATGCTGAATACATGACTTACAACAGTAATTGATACGCTACTGTAAGAATATCATCAAAGATAAAATATAAAATATACCGTCCATAAGGAAAATATTGATATTTACCTAGTAAAATATGTTTCCATAATACACTGACTATACCTCTATTAAACTGTGTATGTCTTTATTAAATATTTGTAAACATTAAAGTACAACAAAAAAGCTTTAAAACTTAAAAGAAACATTAAAAATGCATAATTTTAACCTTTGACAAGGTGTTTAACACAGCAAACATTTAGACTTTAAACATAATTTCTCACAATGAGCTCTTGAGTTGGATAAGCATCTTGCTAATACATGTACATGTATAATAATTTAAATATAAATTCCACCGTCTGTTTATCAAAGTTACCTTTCATGGTACATAAACTTATGCTGAGTCACATAAAATTTTCTTTTTTGATTCTCTTTTCAATCACATCTTCACATCAAAATACATATTTTTTTTTAAATAATTGCCATTCAATATGACGTATGTGATGTAAAATCAAATACTAGGGAACGAGTTTATATGCAAATGAATTGAGATACATTCACAGGAAAATTCGTACTCCCATATATGTCTATAAAATTGTTACATACAGACTTATAAAATAAAATGCAGACCATGAAGTACACAAAACAGGAAATAAAACACGGGAAACATAAGACAGCCAATTATTTTATATCTGCCAGGCACATGTTGACAAAATAGATCAACAGTTTAAACAGATATTGATAGTAATGGGATTAAAATATTTCAATGGATTCAGCTGTCATGTGTTCAGGTGTTGTGCTTCACAACATGTGACCTGTGGTAGTGTAGTCATTAGATAAAAAAAAATGAATTTAACATATTTTAGTAAAAGAACATCCAGATTCATGTGTTCAATTCTTCAAAATGTCTTTTCTACTTTATGAATTTATAAAAATTAGAATCAGAAAGTAATCTTGACAAAAATAAAATAATAAACTCTTGCAAATTTAAGTCATTAATTCATTAAATGCTTTCTATAGTTTGAAACTTCAATGTATGCCAAAGAGCATGCTATTAGAAACCATGGTAAAGAATCACTTGATCAAAATTAGTATCGGCTTGCTCATATAATTTATTTGCAAGTAAATGAGTGGGAACATATTTTAAAAACTTTAATAAAGAGATTAAGTACCTTATTTACATATAGGATTTTTTCATATTTAAAATTCTTTATCGTGAAATGTTAACTATGTTTTACCTTTCTTGAGTTTGTCTTGAAATATAATTAAAATTTAGAACAATATCCTTCATGCTTCATGTTCTGTATTTAATGTCAAATAAAATCGTGTCCGAAGAAACATTAACAACATCCTTCCACAATGTGTTCTACACACATTCATCCTTTAAGAATGTCTAACTATTCGTAAGACCGTAACATTGTACGTACCTACAGATGATTTAGCATGGATTAAAAATGCACATCCACCAGGAAACAGGTAGTCTGACACATTGTGAGGCTGTGACACGTCAATGCTGATAATCAGAGGAGACTCGAAATACAATAATTTTAGTTTAGTACAAAAACTTTAAGTTTATAATTCCTTACCTTATTTAGGTCCGAATTAACCCATATTGTCCCGTTATAATCTTTCATTTGACCTCTTTCATAATATTGACATTCTCCCAATTTCGCGCATTGAACCAAGATTTCGATCCCGATCAAAATATAGTACAACTGTTTTCATCAAAAGAAGTGACTTATTTGACCAAACAATATTTATGAAACATTTGGAAAATAAAGTGAATAAATACTGAAAAAAGAAAATATAATTCATAACATTTTTTTACATGAAGGGATTAAAACATCGGGCTCAACAATCTCCAGACCGACATCAAAGAAAAAGAAAGTACAAAGTAGTCAGTAGACAAGGTTTCTATAAAACTGTTAAACAGGCATTAATTGATAATTGAGTTAAAGTTTGAAATAAATATGTGTTAATTGCTTAAATGAAAAAAAGTTTTAAAAGTATTTTTTAATTAAAGTATGATTTGAATGACCAATATTTATTTATCTATCTAACAACGTTACATGTTTTTAAGAAACTTGATTTGTTCTTTCTTTTAGTTTTACTTTCACTTCCAGATAAATACTTTTCTCAGTGAATTTTTGGGGGAAAAAATCGTCGCTGATATGCAGGTCGTATCTAAAGCTAAGCCGCTTTTCTTTGCCTGGAAAAGCAGAGTCCCTAGAAACTTTTCCAAATGCTTGTGTCACCACCATTATGAAAGTGAAAAGAGAACTCTCAGAGGGAGCGATCATCTATCACGAGTAACTTACGGAAAAAATATGGCACCTCTTACCTTTTCAGTGATAAACACAATTCAGAGACATTTCTGTGCAGGTAAGTTGCGTGCTGTCAAGTGCAGTGTGGCAATCAGACAAGAGCAATGCTGGTGGCCAGATAGCTCAGTTGGTAGTCTATAAGAGTAACCTGTCTAGAATACAGGCAGCCAATGTTCGAATCCTGGTCAGGTCTATGACATTTTTTCCCTTCCTGTTATAGTTGATATTGTTAACCACCACTGGACTTGTAGGTAAAAGTCCTGCTAGGAACAAATGAACTTGGGTTGTGTGTGTTTGGGGAGGAAAATACATGTATTCAAGGAGGAATATGAGGATCAAACAGATTCAATTGCCAGTGGCCAATTAGGTCTTGTAGCGTTCATATGGCCTTGGGTTCCAAATCAGGTCTTGTCTACCACATTTTTCTGTGCCATGCCCTGGAAGTTACAGGTTAAAGACTTGTGCTAGGGAAGAGCTAGTGTTGATGTCTTCAGAGGCAAAGACATTTATGGAGGACAGAATGTGGCGATCAAGTAGATTTGATCACCAGTGGCCAGATATATCAGTTGGTAGAGTACCTGTCTACAGTTCAAAGGGCCCCAAGATCAATTAGTGGTCTGATCCATCACATTTCTCCCTTCCTGATACAAGACATTGGGATCATACCATTTAAGATATGTCTGTCATTGTGGTAGAATGTCCTTTTATACTTTTGTCAAAAGGTTTTTGATAATGAAGATAGAGTATTTGTGTATTTCTTTTTCTTGCTGAATGTGAAGGTCATAGTTTTTAAAGTTCTTAAGGTGATATGGGACTTTGATGCACAATATAATAGTGTACCTAACCATCATGTTCTCAGTGGGGGATTCTGATGTAAGTGAACCTATGAGTGCAAAATTCATGCTAAAAGAGTAGAACAAGATAATCTGCTGCTCAGAGTTCTGCAGAAAAATGAAATTCTCCACTTTGTAAGTTTTTCATTCTGGAGGTTCAACCATTCAGAGTTAATGGGCTTAAATTAGCAGACATTTCATAAAACAGAGTTTTACATGTCTGCATGTACATGTATAGGTTTTATTTATCATAGTTACACTGAAAGTTAAACTCTGTTTTCATTGATACATTCCAACTACCACAGGTCCATCAGAAAAAGGGGGACAGGAATCACAAGATCCAACTAAAGGTCAAGATCATGTCGATGACCCAAATTCATCTGAAGTGTCTGAAGGAGATGGCTGTCCTAAAGGTACTCTGGACTTTCAGGAGGTTGAATCCAGACAGGAGGGACTTTTGGATGAGGAGATTGAGGATTTCTATCGTGAGGCAGAGGAAGATGAGGAGGACAAGGAATGGGTGCCTCCTGTAAGCCTAACAAGTAAGAAGGGAGAGTTTTACTCATACGTACGTACTGTTTTAATAATTATATAAGAATTTAAATTAACTTTTAATTTTTATATACGATCATTGCACTTAAAAAAAGGAGTTATTTACTTTTAAGGGTAAACAGAGTTTATCATGATGTTGATCTACATGGACATTAATAAAAATCATCACTGTATATTACACTGATTTCTATTAATAATTAGTTTAAAAATATTTGAAAGGAAATAAATGCTTTAATATGAACATTAAATGTTGATTTGTTGTATTTTAAAGGAGGGAAAACAGGCGTGTTTGATATTGAGGAGCTGGTTACCATTCTTGAAGCGGAGAATGGGAGCGATATTTGTGTTATAAAAATCCCTCCAGAAATCAATCTGACAGACCATATGGTCATAGTCAGTGCCATCTCAATTCGCCACCTACGAGCCATTGTTTCATCTGTCAACCACATTGTAAGTTTCAAGAAGTTTGCTCATTTTTGTATACATGTATCCATTTTCAAAGTGAAGAAACATGAGGTTTTTCCTGATTTTTTTCTTGACAAAAGCAGAAATGACTTTCCGTGTTGCCTACCAAGCAGAACTACTTCTCTGTTGTTGTATGTTGTATTATTGCTTACACCATGGTCCAGTTTGTTGACGAGAAATTGTTTGCTGTGGGTCTTTGGGTCTAGAAGGATGGCTGTAAAAAAATAATTCGGTAGCTGGAATTTCCTTACAATGTTTAGGTTTTCTGATGGGGTTACAGGATGAGAGAGGATGGCTTGTGTTATATTTCCATTTCTATTTGTTTTCTCTGTGATAACTCTTTGAAAGTTAGTGGATTTGATTTCTTGATCATTCTACCGGAATGCAAATTTCGCCAAGCGAAAGGTCAGGTGCTAAGAAGGCCTAATATGCATGTAATTCTCGTGCGACTGTCTTTGTGTTTGACGTCAGTGGGCGGGGACTATTGAAATTGACATTTGAGGCCTCGTGTATTTTAAATCTATTAGTCTACATTTTTAAAATCTAAATTTACAATTTTATGTCACAATGAAATAGAAATATAAGGAATCACTGTCTAGTTTGTAGAGTATGCCAGGGACATCAACGATAGTTGGAAACGTGGGATAATTTATGCATAACGGGCTTTGCCCGTTATGCAAATTATCCCATGTTTCCAACTATCGTTGATGCCCTGGCATACTCTACTAACTAGACAGTGATTCCTTAAATATACCTATGCAATAAATGAGAAGAGTTTGGTTTGGGATGTCCATGTATTGTGTTACTGTAAAAAACTTAATTCTGTTTATGAAAATAAATTTCTGGTTTTTGTGTAAAATTTTACGAAAGGCTTTAGGTTTAAATGTCCATTTTTGCACTATGGTGGTTCTGATGAAGAGATTTATGGGAATGTCTCTGGGATCACAGTGTCAAAGAGCATGATATCTGTTGCTAAAGTTAAATTGGGAAAAAAAACTTTAAATTATTAAACTTAACAAGATTTTTATTCTCTTGCCATAATTCTCAGGCTTTGGTTATGATACTCGTTTTTCCCCATGGATTGGTCTTGTAAAGAGATTGGCTTAATGTGAGTTAAAGAAGTCTGTCCTCTGTTGCCATAAATGAATTTTGGAAACTCTGCATTTACATGAGAATGTTTTTGGATAAGATGATAATATTTGTACCATTAGTTTTTCTGAGGAAGGGATCTGTATTCTGCTCCACGTGAATTGTTTTGTAGTCACAAGTCAAATAATGTGTAGTTCCATTTATAAAAAAAAATTTTTCCATGTTATTATTTTTGAATGGTGGGTTAGGATGTTCTTATGGACATTATTCCAATAGGTAAAGAGTGTTACTTAGAAAATGCATTAATTTAGGATATTTTTTTTTTAAAATCAATAGCTTGTTCATAAACTCAGAATCAATAGCTTGTTTCAGGCTCACACATGTAGAAGTCAAATATTATACTAGTAATGCCATATAATGAAATTTAAACTTGACATTATTAAAAAATTCTGATATGATGAAACACTGTCAACTGCTCCTGGAAGTCTGTTGCAAATGTGCATTATTGTGTTGGGTCATGTTATACAAATGCAATTCTTTTGTATTCTTATTAAATTCATTTTTACCCGACATGAGTATATTTTTTAATTTTAGTACAAACAAAGAAAGCATGAATCTGATCCATTCCTTCTCATTTCTGGGGTATCAGATCCAAAATCAGAGTGGCTGGCCATGGACATAGGTATTGGTTTACTGTAAAGTAAGAATACTGAAGTAAAAGAAAATATAATCAGATTCAAATATATAATTTCCGTGTTTATTTGCTCTTCTAGGCAATGCTTTTTTACATGTAATGATGCCGGAGACTCGCCAGAAATATGACCTAGAAGGCTTGTGGATGTCTGGGGAGTATAATGTAGATCAGGAGGAAGAGGAGGGGGAGGAGATTGGACAGTTTGAATGGATCAAGGAGTTCAGACTCCAGAGAGAAAAAGTCCGTAATACACAGGGATCAAAAGCTGGTGAAAGTACCGTCAAAACAACCAACACAGAGAAGAAACAAGAGGAGCTGGACTGAATAACATATTTAGACCTGAACTCCAATTAAAAATCATAGATCCTCGACTTCAACACAAAGCTTACAGATATTAATATTGTGTTTTATGATACATGTTAACATACAATGTACCTTGAAAGTGTACATGTAAATGAACCCTGTGTATACTGTATGGTAAATTGTTGACAACAGAAAGAATACTATGCTAAGTACAGTGTCCTTAGGCTTTATCATCTGAAATTGACTTGATTTAATGGGCATTTCTCGTAAGTGGGATGAGAATCTCACAATAAAGAATTCATGTTTCAATTTGTAGTCCATTTTCTTTTAAAAGATGAATATTTAAACATGAACCTATTACTTCAAGCATGCAGGGGTTGCCTTTCCAAGACCATGGTACTTTCTCTTCTCTTAACCAAAATATACAACTAAAACAGATGACATGCTTACTTGGATTCCTCTTTGGCAGTTTTACAATTTTCTGAGAAAGATTTCCAAACAAAGGCCTATGGGCCACAATGCTCACCTGATTCATTATGGTCCTGCTGTTCATTCCTATGTAAAAATTTGATGATTTAGCTAAAGGGTTAACTCACTAGCCCAAGCTAGTAGGATGCCCTGTATCTTGCACTACCATATTGTCCCCCTCCAGAGAATGAGATGTCCTCATCTCTTTTGGAGTGCTGACGCCTGTGGGACGAAGTTCTTGGGGCAGTCACTTTCACCTGCCAGAGAATACCCGGGTCCCAACGTGGGCATCAAATGTAACGGAGACATTTATGTGCCCCTGCTGGGGATTGAACCTGGGGCCTCTGGCTTGCCAGTCCAGTGCTCTACTAATTTAGCTAAAAGGTTAACCCACTTGTCCAAGCTATTAGGATGCTGTGTATCTTACACTACCACATTGTCCCCCTTCAGAGAATGACATGTCCTCATCTCTTGGAGTGCCGACGCCTGTGGAAAGAAGTTCTGGGGGAAATCACTTCAATGTGGTAGTGTAAGATACACTGCATCCTACTAGCTTGGGCTAGTGGGTTAACCCTTTAGCTCAATCGGTAGTGCACAGGACTGGCATGCCAGAGGCCTTGGGTTCAATCCCAAGCAGAGGCACTAACATGTCTCTGTTACCAAAAACCATTGTGACGTACTTGTAACAACCATGGAAAACAATATCTTATGAACAATATCCACTGTATTAAGGAGTAAATGTGATGATAAAAAAAATTGCATACTCTGGTCAACATTTCAAACAAAGGGTCTAGAAATGCTCTGATGAATAGTAGAACCAACCTTGATGGTCCTTAGGCTTATAGAAATACATTTAGAAGAAAATGAATGGTCAGTTTGACCTATATACTTCAACGTTTTCACACTCAAGGCCTTAAGAATGCATCAAACAAGATTTGATGGAATATCCTTTGACTTGCAGTGTCAAAGATATTGAAAAGATTTTAAAATATTCTAAAATCGGGTCACCGTGATGACCCTCTTTTGAATTGCAATACCCAAAAATCCCAGAGTACACCAACCAACAAGTTTAGATATAAAGGTTTGAATTGAATAGCAGTAAAATTACAAAAGTAGGCCACTGCTACCTACTTCAGGTATCAACTCCCAATATTTGGTGATCCTTAACAACAAAGTGTTAGAGATCTTAGAATATTTGTCAGTGGCTTAAAAAGTTTCAAATATTTGATAAGTAAGTCAAGCTTCTAAGTTTTAAGTCAAGGACATGAAGTCAAAAATGATCGTTCTTTCTGAAAGATGTTGTAACAGGTAATGCATATGTAAAATATCAACCCCCTAATCTTCTCTCATTCAAAAGTTAGTGCATGTATCACTTAAATTCTTTTTTAAAAGTATGCTAAAGGTCACAAAGCATAGAACACTTGGAAAGGTCTTGCAATACGTAATGCACATGTGAAATATGAACATCCTATATTCTCTCATTTTGAAGCTATCACCAAATGTTTTAAAATTTTTGAAAAGTAGGCAAAACTTAAAGGTCAATGTCATGCAGTCAAATCATAGTGCACTTAAAAAGGTCTTGTCACAGGTATTGTACGTGTAAAATATGAAAAGCCCCATCTTTTTTTCATTCAAAACTTATTTTTAACCAAGTGTAGTTTTTGTGCCAGCCAGACTGACAAATTAGATTTAACGTCCCTTCGCTTTCACAGGGGACAAAATTAATGCAAAGGTGAAAATATTTCAAGTCATCATCATCCACTTTATAGCCCTAGGATGCATCAACTTCTAATGTTTGGTGACATTACAGTGCAGAATGTTTTCAAAGTTAATAGCTAATTAGATTTCCAAAATAGTAGCCATAAAATATTCTGTGACCTACTTTTCAGTCTACTTTTCTTGAAGGCCCTGATGTATATTGGGTAACAAAGTCTGGTGATTCTTGGCCTCTTGTTGTTCAAGGGTTAAAAAATTGGCAATGATTTTAATAAGTATGTCATGGTAACCTACTTTTGGGTTCAACAATTCTGTGCCCAATCAGACCTGAATTTATTTCATTGACCAAAATCAATGCCAAAGTCATTACCTTTCCAATGAGCATACTTCAACTCCATGTATCTCATTCAAATTTACCGAAATGTTAAGCCAGAAGTAGGGTATCAATTGTAAAAAGTAAAATATAAACATTTCATTTTTTTTAATCCAACCAAATTTTTTACTCTAGAAAAAGAAAACCCATAGGGTTAGGTCATAGATATGAATTAACAGAACATCATGATTTTTCATGTACATGCATCAAATGAATTACATCATAAAATCAAAGCACTTTTATAAACTTAATTTTGCATATCAAACTATCATCTCCTGTGGGATCTTTCCCTGCTGCGAACACTGCTTTCTCTTTGAGAGCTGTACCTATTACTTTCATATTTTTCATACTCATTCGAGTCCCGTCTCTTTTTTAGAGATTGTTTTACACTGTCACTATCAGAGTCTGAGTGCTTCCTCTTCCTAGGGGGAGAGGATGAGGATGACGAGGAACTGTCACTAGAGGAATCATCAGAACTGCTGGAGTCAGAATCACTGGAGGAATCGCTGTCCTCACTGGAGGAATCTACACTCCTCCTACTGCTTCCTTTATTCCTTCTGCTCCTCTCCTGTTCCTCACTGTACCTGTTCTTTCTCTCTTGTTCATCATCTCTGCCCCTGTTACTTCTGCTTTTCTCCAAATCCTCTTGCCTTCTCCTCTGTTCCTTGTCTCTGTCGATCTCCCTTCCCCTGCCCTCTCTAGACACATCTTCTCTTCGCTGCCTTTTCTCTGCCCTATCATCTTCCTCGTATCCATGTTTTCTTCTTTCTGTACTATCTTCATGCCTCCTTCTTTGGTTTTCCTCTTCACGCCTCCTACTCCTCTCATATTCTCTGTTTCTTTGACTCATTTCCTCTCTGGATCCTTCTCTCCTTTGTTTATCTCTATTCCTTTCCTGACTTCTATTCCTTGTCATAGTTCTCTCATCATCTACACTTCTTTCTCGGAACCCATTCTCCTGACGATCCCTTCCTCTTCTAGAATCCCTGGTCTCCTCCCTTCCTCGATTCCTTAATCTGTAATCCTCATCAGAATCTTCATTCCGTCTTCCATTTCTTCGCTCTTCATCTCTTTCCTCTTTTCTCCCTCTGGAGGGTCTGTCATAATTTTCCTCTGCATGTTCCTCTTTTCTTCTACTTTGTCTCCTATTACTGTATCTTGAACTTTGTCTGTCATCATCACTTTCATTCCTATTTCTCCTTCTGTCATTCCTTTCATCTCTGTCTCTCCAATCTCCATCTACATCATTAGAGTATCTTCCACTGTATCTATCTGATCTTGAATCTTCCCACTTGGATCGAATGTTCTCTGGACTCTCTTGTCGGTCCCTCCTTCTAGAAATATCTGGACTTTCCTCTCTTCCCCTCCTTTTTGATTCAACAATTTCCAAACTTCTCTCTTTATCTCTTCTTTTAGATTGAAAATTTCCAGGGCTTTTCTCCCTATCTCTTCTGTTTGAACTGATATTTTGTGGGCTTTCATCCCTGCCTCTCTGCTTAGACCTTCTATCATACACGATTTCCTCTTTTTCCCTTCTGCTTTGCCTAATATTTTCTGGACTGTCTTCCCTCTCTTGTCTTTTTTCCCTTTGTCTTATGTCCCCATTGGTATAACCTTTCCTTGACTTTTCTTTACTCCTCCTGTCCCTTGTGTCTGTTGGTTTCCCTTTTCTTTTCTTTTGAGGTGCTTCATCTTCTGAGGAGCTGTCTGTAATACATATATGAAAATATCTTATAATAATACAATAGCATCTGACAATCATGTAAAATGGAACATTTATACATGTATCTTTAAAATGGATGCTATGTACAGACACGTGCAAAAAGTATTCGGTCAAAAATGGCGTCGTGTTTACACTTGAAGACGAAACTAAAAACGAAAATGACGTTTGCCCTGTTATGATCACATCACAGGAAATAGATTTGTATAGATTCAGAAAATATAGTCACAAGATAAATCACGTGACAATATTTTCGTCTGCTGTTTACAAATAAAAAGAAAATATAGCAAAACTAAGAAAGATGGGTTGGAAAGGAAAAGAGATGGGGTCAGATGTCAAAAACATCATCGTGGAGTTAATGCAGAAAGGTTATTCTTGGAGAAAGATAAGTGAAATGTTACAATTACCTAAATCAACTGTTACTGACGTTTGTCAAAAATTTTCTGACACTAGATCTGTTGAAAACAAACCCAGAAGCGGCCGACCTCCAAAAATCGGGCCCCATGACTATCAAAAGTTAGAGAGGATTGTGAAAACAAATCGTAGATGTTCGCTTTCTGAAATAACGGCAAAATTTAACGAGGAAAGACCAGAACCAGTAAGTAAAAGGACAGTACGGCATAATTTGCACAAAAATAACTACAGGAGAAGTGTTGCCAAGAAGAAACTGGTTATAAAAGAAATAAATCGTAAGAAGCGGTTTGCTTCGTGTCGGGGGAAAAGACAATGGACAGTAGAGGACTGGAAGCGGGTGATTTTTTCAGATGAGTGTAAAATTATAATGGGGCATGATGAAAGGATTAGGATTTGGAGAAAAAACGACGAAGGATGGAGTCCTGACCTTGTTTAACAGAGGACTTCTCAAGCCAAACACGAAGTTATGATATGGGGGTGCATCTGCAGGGAGGTTTGGAACTATGTCGCCAGTAGAAGGAAATATCAATGCTACTAAATACCAAGATATCTTAGAGGAAAACCTTTGGCCTGTTCTCATAAGACATTTCCCTCAAAATGGTTACTATTTTCAGGATG